TTTTATCTGTTACTATGCGTCACATTTTCCGCAGTACTTAAGGCTTACGAAAAACATAAGAAGAGGAATAGATATTTCGCAACAACAGAAGAACCCTCTTTACTATTATGTGAAACAGTAGGTAAATGCGTGTGTAAGACTGAAAGGTTCACTTTTCAAGTCTTCCTTCTACGGTTGTTCCCGCTCTTGTAGGAGTTATAGGGCCAACTATTTACAATGCGACGATTCCAGTGAGAAGTTCGGATTCAGGACTCGTTGCCGGTAGGACTCTCGCCTTCGTGGGACACTGAAGGTAAAACACAACATCGGTTAATAAGTACCTCCACTTTCAATAGCGACTACGTTCTTAGTATGTCGCGTCCGGCATGAAAATGTAAATATAACGGTGCTAAACGACCAAATACTGTGAAAGTTATTACTTTTAGATGGTTGAACTTGAAAGAACAAACATTCTGCTTGGACTCGAGTGGACAGACATGACAAGAAGTGTTGTGGATAAAGTGAACGGGAAAAAGGTAGAGTCGCAATTTCATATGTAAAGTCTGGATTAGTAGAACAAGAGAAGACGGCAAAAGTTAAAATTCAGATACATCTGGGGGGTTTTTCATTTAGGAGGAAGGGAAAACGAGATAGTTATCTCGTAATACACGGCTGCAAAAAGGGACCCACTGTCTACATGAGCGTGGCCGTACTAAGCAGCGTACTGCCGTGAAGAGCAGTAGGAAGTGCCTCCCATACTTACGTGGAAGCACACCATTAAGAACAACTACGCCAGTATATAACAAGAATTGGTGCAGTTCTGTACCCTTCCAGGTGTCCATGTCATTTAATGACCTAGCGCGATGCGAAAATTCTCTCGCGGCAGGTAGGGGTTCAACGCGTGCAAGTTATTATTTATAGTCGACACTGCCGATGTGGACAACCTATACGCACTGTCCCTAGGGCTGCGTAGCTACAAGTTGAGAAGTCTTCTCATAACACCTAGGTAAACCAAATGTAAAGGATCTAAGGGGAAGGAGCTTATCATTCCTACATTGCACGCCAGCAATGGCGACACGCCAATGCGGTGGCAGTCATTGTCCACGGAAAAAAAATCCTCACCTGACCTAGCATGTTCGGAGACACTATCATAAACTATCTTGTCTAAGTACTCCTCCTTAACACAGCAGCGTTCGCAGCCGTAGTAAGCATTAACATTCTTAATCTGCTTAATGAAAGCTCTTGTTGGAGCATCACAGATGACGGAAGCCAGACGGAAGCGCAGAGTTTTGTCAACCGCATCGAGCCGCAAACCGTATTTATTCAACGACAATAAATCGTCGGCAGGCGGTTTGCAGAACGCCTGCACGTCCGAAAGCTTACCTACTCCACAGTATATACCTACGGTGAAAACATCACTTAATATTGCCTTCATAATTCTGCCTAAAACAGGCCAAAATTCACGCTTAGTCTTCCTATGGATTGGGAGACCACCTATTGCTAGGCTGAAAACTACTTCTTCTACTGAATGGGGCCGGCCTAGTTTACGCAACTGCGCGTTCGCCTGAGCGGCAAGACCCAAATGCATGTACTTACCACTGACCATTGCCGTGATCGGTGCAGAGAAGTATGCCGCGCCCAACAGCGTTCGTGCGTCAGCTGGGAGGTCCGGCAACCACGGTTTCAAAGCCTTAAGCAGATCGTTCAAGTGCGAATGGGGAGCTTTCGACCGTAAAGCCCACTTTCGCACAGCTTCACGAGCGCTTGCATCCTTCTCCTCTACTTCCGCCGTTGAACCAACTTCTTCGTCCGTAGTCGCACTGATACCCTCTAAGGAAGAAGAGCGTTCGTTCTCCAGCGAAGTTGAGGACATAGAGTCGTCCGTGACGCTTTCCGACAAACTACTCGATGATGTGTCCGACGACGGCATTTCCCGCATATCTTAGCTGATTCTTCGTTTTATCTCTTCCGCTTCTCTACGTGCTTGACGCCGAATTTTACGCCTCCTATCAGGCGTAAACATAATTGTGAGTAAAAGGGGACAAATGAGAAGACAAAGACAAAGAGAGGTAGGGTTGGCAATGACAGCGTTGACCGAGGCACGGCGTGCGCACTGCAGCGTGAGAAAGCAAAAAACTGGCACCGGCGACAGCGAGAAGACTATCGGGCGCCGAAGCTAAGCGATAAACAAGTGCAAGTATGCGCGGCCGCTTGCGGCCTTCGCGACGCCGGCGCAGCCGACCCGAGAACCAATCAAATCGCGAGCAGGCTAAAGACCCATTACCCCCCTAGAGTACGCTAGACCGCGGCGAGCTAGCTTGCTATGAGGGAGGGAAGGATGACGGGAAAAGAAGGGCGCAGGAAGGAGTAGAAAGACATAGAAATGGACAGTATTCAAGGGCTATTGAAATAGATAACTCCGGTGATGACACTCTAGAGGATTTGGGTTGCACATCTGGCGACGGTATGCATTCAAAGCAGGTTATCTTATTGTTGTATTTTCCATTCAAGACGATGTTGATTCTGCATGGACGGTACTCTCGGGTGT